TGATAACCTCTTGGCCTTTTGTAATGAGAAACAAATGCTTACATATACAAGTCAGCTTTATTTATATAAATATATATATAATATATATTTACACAGCGCTTTATACAGTACAGAGTGTTTCAAAGCTTTGCAGAGATTACAGGAAAATAATGCAACAAAATTTGTTTCCAGAAGAGAATAGCGTCATAGTTCAGCTTGAGTAAGTTCAGTGATGCTTCATTTCTAAAAAACGACACAAGTTTTAGGGCTGGATGATGATATGATGATATATATATATACGTGACATTGATCACATGGATTTAGACTTATATTGTATTTATATAAAGCGTTCGCAGGCTAATTTGCTTTATGTATTTCCCCGGCGTGGAAATCAGGCTCATATAAATGTGAGGAAACACGATTCCTGCGGCATGTCAGTATCCATGATCACTGGATCTGTGGTGAGTTGTAAGGAACACTATATCCAGTCCAAGCTTTAGTTTAAACTGATAATCGTTTGTTTTACTGGCGTTTTTGCCGTTTCTCCTAATAATTAATAATTATTATTTCGCTCCTGAACTCTATGGCAGGCCATACAACCGCTTGCGGGAAAGTTATGAAATTTGGCACACAGATAGAGGACAGTCTGAACTGTCACCATTGCAAATTTGGGGTCTCTAACTCAATCCCTCTAGCGCCACCAACTGTTCAAAGTTCCACTTACATTTATGCTTATAACTTTTGAACCGTTCAGGCTAGAAATAAAATATTTGTTCCTCTAGTTCCTCTAATTTGATTGCATTGCGTTTCTCCGATTTTCATGAAAATGGAACCAGATCATCTTTAGATCATGCTGACAAAAAGTTATGGAATTCATAACTGATTCGTCAAACCGTTCTTAAATAATACGCGAATGGATTCGAACAAAAAGGACACCAAAATGAACGTGAGGCTAAATCTCCACAACGCTTGAGTGTATTCTGAGCAAACTTGGTGTGTGTTCGGACAACCATGACCTGAGGGTACCTGCACAGTTTCAGCACAGTGCCACCTAGTGGTCAGGAGATATGGAAAGTTTACAATATTGCTTATAACTTTTGATCTTGTATCTTTAGATTCTGTGCAGCATGCAAAGTCGAACGATACCCAAGTTTCCCAGATCGGCCATTTTGAATTTTGTCATTAAATGCTATATTTTACGAACTCATTCGCGTATCATTACGAAACTCGGTGTGTGTGTCTTTGGCAAGTTTCAAGACATCGCCATCTTGTGTTCAAAAGTTATAATGAAATTTCCCCAAAATGTTAATAACTTTTGATAACATTAGCTTATTGTAATGAAGTAATATTGTAATGGGTCGTGCCGAGAACATGCATACCAATTTTGCCGAAATCGGATGAACTTACTCTCCGCCATTTTGATTTTCTTTTAAAAACCTACTTTTTCCAATTTTCATCAAAATTGAACCGTATCATCTTCAGACCATGCCAGCAAAAAGTTATGGATTTAGTTTAGTTTAGTTCCTTTATTGTCCAGAAGAGGAAATTTAACTTTGGCTTCACTATACACCACACACAAGGACACCAACACAACATAACCATATACATACAAAATATGATACAATTAAAACAATAACATTCCCATGTGTACATATACAATCTATGCATACATATCCACCCTTACTCGTACTCATATCTTCTCAACATTTAAAATCCTAATTGCAGTTGGTACAAATGACATCTGGTATACATTGTTACTCGTTTGTCTAAATCTCGTGTCGATAGACGAAACCGTTTTCGGCAACAAAGTTTGATGCCAAAATGACTCTTAGGTTGTAACTCTGTGACATATTGACACCAAACTTTGCATGTGTCATTGTCACCTCACTCTGACCACACCACATCAATTTGGCCACAGCGCCCCCTATTGGTCAAAAGTGATAAACCATTAAACCAAAATACTAGTGATTGTATTTATGATTTTGCCTTGAATTTTCTTAATATGTCTTCAATTGCTCATTGATGCAGTTGTTCTGATGCTTGGAGTAATGTTCAAGTGCTGATGAGAAGCAAACAAGGTCTGTTGTGTCTCTCTTCAGAAATCTCATCAGAAGTCATTTCGTTCGCATCGCACCGACCGATAATCACCAGATCAATACGGCGAAACTGTCTCTCTGTCGCACTGCTTTTCTAATAGTTTTGTTTGTTTGCAGCTGACAGTATTTACATTCATTCGGTTCCTGTAACCAGAATTAATACCTAATAAACGATATCAGCTGCTCGCGCACCGATGGACGGGCGATTGACAGTTTCTATTTTCTGCGGACTTGTTAACTCGCATGTGTGCGAGAGATAGACAGACGAGAGCGAGCGAGACAGACGCTCTTTTAGTGAAATAATTGTGTGTTCAGATCTGCGGTTGGTCTGTATAATACTTAATAGAGCTGGGATGATGCTATTAAACCCGCTCGAGCTGAAACGAGGCGTGAGAAGGGTTTCAACCAGAGACTTGGATGTTGTGTTTTTAGTCAAGTCTCTGATTTCTTAGATGGCATTAGGTTTCATTATTTGATTTGGTTCTATTCTCTGTCATCATTTACTTCTTTCTTTTTTCTGTGCAATGCAAAAAAAAAAACACATTTAGAAAATTTGTCCATACAGTGCAAGTCAATGGGGTCCAAAATCTTCTTTTTTTTTGTTTCACAGAAACTCAATCGTCATAAAGGTTTGAAATGACTTGAGAAATGATGGTAATGTTCTCACACACGCTCCGCTCTGTCTCTCGTTAGGGTTCTCCTGCAGAAAGATTACGGTTTCCTCCGAGACATTAACGTCTGGCACCCCTTCGTGACCATCGGTGTGTATTCCTCGACGCTCTCCGCTGCCATGAGTAATCTGATCGGAGCTTCCCGAATCCTGTACGCTCTGGCGCGGGACGACCTGTTCGGTGAGTGAATCACTGTCACCTGCAGATTGTTATGTTCTCCTTTATTATAACCTTTTTAATCTCGCCGCTCCCCCTAATGAGCCTCATTTGCATAAACATGTAACTTTGGCCCTCTCATGCTTGTAAACATCCCAGTGTAAATATACAGTCTAAATCTATTCAGCTTATTTCACCCCCACCCACAAATTTATATAATACAAATACTAGACAATATTCATTCCTAAAAATATATATTCAGTAGTTAACATTTGAAGTGGATCAAAACCTTTCATCAAAGTTATACATGAATTTTGAGTATTTGCTGTGCTGCACTGTGCTGTGTGTATATTATTACATTTAATTATAAATAAATAAATGTCAATTTATATACTTTTGTACTATTTTGTAAATGTGTGTGTTATTAATACATATTATGTATAGTATTTGTTGTGCTGCTTTAATTTATGCTGATTTTGTTTATAATTTAAAAAATATTCTTTCTGTTTTTACTCTTATAATTGCTCAGAAAAATGTCACAGTGCTGTTTTTTGGGTGATTTAAACATGAGTTTTATATCATGAGCATCGCATGTGTTGTTCGTCTGTGCGCATGTGATCTCTCAGAGGTTCAGGCCTTTAAAGTTCACCCAAATATGATGTCTTTTATTACTCGCCCTCATGTTGCTCCAAGCCCATAAGACTTCCGTTCATCTTCAGAACACAAATGCTGATCTTTTTGGTGAAATCTGAGAGATTTCTGTCCCTCCATCGACATCTATGAACCACCACTTTGATGCTTTAAAAAGTTCATAAAGAGATCGTAAAACTAATCCATATTTGAGCGGTTTAGTCCAAATTTTCTGAAGAGACTCGATCGCTTTATATGATGAACAGATTTAGTTTAGACCTTTATTCACATATAAACATTCATCAAAAAGATCTTTATTTGTGTTCTGAAGATAAACGGAAGTGTTACAGGTTTTTAACGATATGAGGGTGAGTAAATAATGGCAGAATCTTTTCATTTTTGTGTGAACTAACCCTTTAACCTGTGTGTGAGAGTGTGTCTATATCTGTTCAGGTTTGCGTGTGTGTTTCTCCCATGATGGATGAATGAATGTTCTCAGGATAAATGTCTTCATGTAAGAGTGATTGATTCTCCTGCTGTTGTTCGGTTTATTCACCTTCAGCTTTCTTGTTGAAATATGAGTAGATGTATTCAGCTACAGATCGTATCAGTTGTCCGTCTCTCTCTCAGGAAAGGCTCTGTCTCCAGCCAAACGCATATCCGGCAGTGGGAACCCCTGGGTGTCTGTTCTCTTCTCCTGGTTTATCGTACAGGTGATGATTTAACATTACTTTATGCATAATTCAATTCAATTCACATTTATTCGTATAGCGCTTTTCACAATACACATCATTCCAAAGCAGCAGAAAATGCAGGAGTCCACATTAGTTTACAGTGATCTGTTATCAGAAGTTATGTATTTCAGAAATGTACATGTACAAAATCACAGAATAGAGTGATTGTCAATAATCTTACATGAATGAATATGTTTACTAACTGTCTTTAGACTGTTTGTGTTATAAGATTATTAATTATAAATAACTAATGTTTATAATTGCTCCTCCTACATCTAAGAAGCCCCTCCTACATTCAGCGAATGACGAAGTGACGTCGATACTGATATATTGGGGTCTCATTTGGGGGCCTTTGAGTAGCCCTGGGCTATATTAGTCAAGTCTCCTTCATTCATACAGCGCTTTTAACATTATAGATTGTTTCAGAGCAGCTTTACAGTGCTAACAGGAGATTACAATAACAGAGATTGTTTGGTTTTACAGCAGCTCTAGAATAAAGTTATTGTCCAGCTAAAGTTAGTTTTGATTGATTCACTTCCGTTGCAAAGATCATTAGTTATAAACTTAGGGGCCGCTAACACGACACCGTTTTAACTGAAAACAGAAACTTTTAAAGTGTTCTGGCCGTTCATTTGCACGGCAACAGTGTTTGATGCTCGAGAACGCAAACTTTAAAACCGCTTGAAAACCGGCAAGTTTTTAATTTTTAAAAAATGTTATCATCTCCGTGTACACTTAAAAAACGAGAATCTGTGAAAATGGGGATGGTGTGCACATGCATAATACGTGTTTAGTCTATAGAAATGCGCGTTTGAATATATATGTGGCAGGCACGTAGTCTTTCTTTACAAAGTGACATCACCAAATAACTTGTCTGGCCTCATAATACAGAATTTTTAGTCTTAGTTAGTTATTTGATGCTGTAAAAAACGGGAATGTGACGTCATGATTGACAGCTGTGATTGACAGCTTCTCTAAACGAAGTAGTCACTGAGGCACCAACTTTTTCCAGGATCTTTGGGATGAGATTGGAACTTTAACTTTAATTTCTACATTTCCATAACTCCTTATTTCACACCGACATAATGAGTTGTTCTGCAGTACTAACCGTTTCTGCGGCGGGACCTTGATATCGCGGGTCCACTTCACGCTCACTACTGCGCAGAATCAGGTCCCAAATCATATTGTGCCATATTGGGACTTTGGCGGCTTCACTTGTCTACAATGGAAGAGATTGAAGGTGCATCGTCCATCTTTGTTTACAGTGTATGATCTAGCACAGTACAGGGGCTGACCGACTGGGCATACACACGAGTACTGGGCCTGGCGTCGGACGCCTCTGCCACGTCGATTCAGGGTTCGCCGAGTAGGGAACTCCCCTGGAGAGCAAAGTAGGCACTTGTATCCCTGTTCTAGAAGGGAATGACACTGAGCCTTCCCGCACATTACCTGTTTGTACCCAACACACGGGAAGAAACCGGCTCCAACTGGAGATTGCAGAATCGCAAAGGGATTAGGTACTCCGATGGGGCACGGCTCTCCTTGGGACTGGAATGCCAAGGCGATGGAATTCATTATCCAGTTGGCCAACTTCTGTTTGGAGACGACCTCCCCCTCCTGCTGACCTCCAAAGCAGACAAAGAGCTGTTCTGGACATAAACATGCGGTGCATGAACGGGACACAGCCACTCCAGGGCTGGTTAGGGCGGAGCCGGCTGTCGCCATCTTGGCAGCGTCACTCTCGGATAACTGAAAATGTGCAGCGAGGCAGATTAGCTGAGATGATGTGACGCTAACAGACAAACTGCTAGTAGTGACATCAGTGGGAATCCACCTGTCACTCAAGTGGCCACGCCCTTTATTATGCAGAACTTTAAGGCTTATTATAATAAAAATGTTTAAATTAGAGTTATGAAAATATTCACCCACCTCACAGTTGTCATGAATGGCAAAATTAGCTGTATAGACCAAAACTACTTTTTGCACCAGGCTGAAAACATTTTTTTCTGCTGTAAAGTTGGGCATTTTAACATAGGGGTCTATGGGATTGACTCGCTTTTGGAGCCTGTCTCTAGTGGCCAGTCGATGAATTGCAGTTTAAGTCACTTCCGTGTTGGTTTCAAGAGAGAGACAGGTAGGTTGCCGCTTTGGTCCAACGCGTCCATGCCGAGGCAGGCCTTGGTCAGGGAATAAAAGAACGGGCAGTGGGAGGACCCCTGGGAGACAAACAGGCCAACCTGTGCATCCCCGAATCCACTCCCGATCAGCTGGACCACCTGGGAATGGAGTCTCCATTCTCCTGGAAGCATGAGCTGTCGTGACCGTGTGTTGGCCACATGATTGAGCTTAGCCACTGCTCACTCCTGAGGAGGAGATGGCGGGCGAGTTGAGACTAACGGAGTGAGCGTACACCGCCTTGGTGGTTGATGTACGCAACCGCTGCAGTGTTGTCCATACCGAGCAACATGTGCCCGCAAGGGTCATGGCACTGCCAGTAACTCTAGGCATTTTATATGCCACTGCCCTGTCGAGGTCTCTTCCCGAAGCCCGAAGTTACATGCCCGTTGCACTCAGCGCCCCAGCCTGTTCTGGAGGCATCTGTTGTAACGACAACATGCCTGGGCACTTGTTTTAAAGGCAAGGGTTGAATGTTGCGCACAGAAAAGTGTGATGGCCGCGGCGGAGCCGAAAGACCAGGTCCCCTTGTTCGCACTACTCTCTCGAGGGTGAGCCAGAATGAGCCAGTCGTCGAGAGGGTTCAGAATGCGAATGCCGCCTCCCTCAGTGGGGTACGGGCAGCCTCTGGCCTTGGTGAAGATGCTGGGGATGAAAGGCAGGACCTTGTACTGGTATACCCGACCCTTTAAAGCAAACCGTTAGTGAGAGAGGAAGAACTGTTGAAGCAGATTTTGGCACTTTCTATCTTTGCGTCGCGCTTCAAGCCCAGAAACCAATCATCCAGCCGTGAAGACTCGGGGCACTCAGTGTTCCTCGATGTACGTGGCTCTGAATCTGATTCAGAATTAGAAAACACTGCCAAAGATAGAAACTTAGCATCATATTCCTCTCCAGAGGACAATAGCCCTCTTTACGATGCCGCGATCTGATCCTCATCCAGAGCGGCGAATGAAGCGCTGGGGCGCCGCAATAGGGATTAACTGCACAACAACTCCAATAAATATTTTGTTCTGTTTGAGCCTTTTGTTCCCGTCAAAGCCTGGTTTCTCCCAAGGC